CCCTCCTCACCCTCCTCACCCTCTCTCTAAGGCTGAGCTCGGCCACCCTACGGAGGAAACTCATTTCGGCCGCTTGTAGCCGTGATCTCGTTCTTTCGGTCACGACCCAGAGTTCGTTAAAAGTTAGACGCCACTTTATAACAATTAAATCTAAACAAATACAGCATGAACAAACCTGAAAATACGAAAGGTGTACGAATGTTTCCAAGAAGTTGTGTTACAGAATGCATTAGAATGATTCCTCTTTGCATATTTATCTGATGTAATTTATATTTCCCCAAATATAAAAAGGTAAAATCGTGTGTTTTCCCACCACGTACTTTAACACGGTGCAGAGGCAGACATGTTTCAGCCTAACAGACTGTTTCACATGCGTGACTTTAGTAAATCCAGAGGAATACTAGTCAGCTTGTCTCCTGTTATCTGCGAGCCTCACGCTGCAAACACTCGCTGCTATGACATGAAAACTGTGACTCCACTCCGTAGACTAACATTTGGGAGAAGTAGAGCACCGGTTATTGGCAGATGGCTGAGATTGTGAATCTATATCAGGAGAGGATAAGTCAGATTGTTAATACTATACCTGAAGATACTACTTCCATGTCACATTATAACCCTGTCTCTGGCTTTATAGCTTCAATGGTAAGAAGCTGGACATGGACGGTGACACTCCACACTACCTGTGCATTTACTGGGAAACAAAACAGACTTGAGTCCTCACCTGTGACCGTCTACATCTCTCACATCGAGGACAGAGTAAGCGTGACGTGGACGTAAACCCACAGACTCGTACATCGCGTCATCCACCTTCATGTTACCTCCTCCACAAGACGCCCCCATTAGGAAGCTAGCAGCACGAAACATGACAGAGTTAGGACTTATTCTCAACAGATAATTAAGAACGAGCCTCCTCCTGACACTCACCCTGCTTCCTTGGAGCTCAGCATCTTGGCCCAGATGAGGTCTGTGTCGATCGGTTCCTCCATGGGGTTGGTGGTACTGATCTGGAGGGCCAGCGACTCGCAGGGGGCCCCGGTCAGCGTGGAGAGGCCCTCGATGGCACGACCGGCCTGCAAAGCAAAGTAGGAGCCGTGGAGCTTGGCGAGCGCCTTTTCAATCAGAGCCACCCAGAGCTGCTTCCTCTGGGCCTGGAGAGGGAAGAGGACGGCACTCATTATCTCCTGTACAACAGCTTAGACATCACATCTGGTGATAAGCAGAGGAACATCAGTGCTGCCCCATCACTAAATGACTCCTCCTTGATACATGAACAGAGTGTTTAGAGTCGAGCGTTCCACCTGAGAGAAGAGCAGGTGTCCGCTGTCGTCACACGGCAGCATGTCGTCTACCAGCACCGTGGTCCACGAGCCGTCTTTGCACAGACGCACCTGATAGGCTCCTTCTGCACACAGCGAGCGCGTCACCATCACCTTCTCCACCAGCTCGGGACGTTCGGCCAGAACAGCCAAGGCACTCAGGAACCTGCTCTCCAAAAAACACCCAGACACACGAGTGACTGGATCCACCTGGAGGCTAAAGGAGCTACAGAGCTCTCCGGGCGCCTGTTAGTGCGCTTCATCTCTGAGAGCGAAGTATTAATATTAAAGGAGACAGACTCATTGAAATACAGAGTGGTATTCCACAGAGCTTCTCCTGATTACTCAGCAGAGGTGGAGGAAGCACTCAGACCCTTTAATTAAGCAGAAGTAGTGTTACCAACGTGTACAAATACTGTTAATATACTGATGTTATAAGTTAAAGTATTATCAGCTAAATGTACTCACCATTATACATTTACTGTAATACATAATGTTTTGATCTTATTGAACCTTTTTATTTGATCTTTTACATCTTTAACACGTGTCTTATGTATGTCATATGTTTTTGTCACATAGGTTTATGATCTCTGCTTATTTTTCTATGTTTTCATTTTTTCCCCATTGAGTCAAAGCCGCTCCTCTGAAATGTTCGATATCAATAAACTTGACAAGTTTTAAATAAATGTAGAGCTGTAAAAAAATATGATATTTCCTTTTGAGACATAAAAGTATAAAGTAGCACAACAATGGAAATATTTCAGTAAAGTACAATAAATGTATCGACCTCACTGCTCTCAGCTGGAAGCACTAAATATAAACGCAAAACAAACACTGTACCATATATTCCCACTTCTATAAATGTCTCTTGTTTTTATTACATACACGTCAGAGTAACGTCCCACATCTGGGAATATATCAAGACAATTAACTTTTCTTATTAGGTTGTTATTCAAAAGTTGTCTTTTTAAATCCATGTTTGTTACAGAGAAATGGACGATGTCACTATGATGGAGTAATGTAAATAGAGCATTATAGTATTATAACCGTCTGCATCCTTAAATAACTATTATATTAAAGAAACATAACTATTTAAAACAGTATGATCTTGAACAAACACACTTGGTGAGTTAGTTCGTGCTCATTTAAAATCTAATAAGTATAGAAAGTATTAAATAAATAAAGCAGCGGCCGCGGGCTCACCAGCAGTTACCCAGAAGTCCCTGCAGGATGTCGGAGGGGTGGAGCGTGCGGAACACGCTCCACCCCTCCGCGCGCTCTCTGGAGCTGCAGCAGCTGATTTGCTGCGGGCGAAGCCACCTCCTGACGCGGTGCTGCACGCTGTCGTCCGCCGGGAAGCCCACCGACGTCGGACCGGGAGGGAAGCTGTCGTCCACAAACGTCACGGCGTTCTGGTGACGAGCCAATCAAATCACAGGAAACAACCTCAGTGAGGCGCAGGAAAAGAAATGCAACAACATTCAGATTGAAGCGTTAAAAAGGTCCAAAATCCCTTGATGCCTCGTGACGTCTCATCATTTTAATAGTTTGAGGTCTTTTGTTATTTAAATATTGTATTGTTTGTTTTTTAAGTTGCTGTTAACTGTGTTAGAAAAGTAAATCATGATGATATGTTTGCTCTTCTGTTTCTGTGACATTTAGTTTGTTTTCTTTTGGACAAGTTACTGCTGAAAAAGCGACTTTTAATCTCAACGACACTTCCAGTGGTTAAATAAAAGTAAAGTAGTTCACTACAGACAAAGTGGTGAGTTTCTCTCATCTGATCCACAAAGTCATGGTTTCTGGACTGTGAGGGTTCAGCACCATCATGGAGCTAAACGTCTTCTCTCACTTAATCTAAAGCTCCTTCACCTCGTGTTGTGTTCGAGTATAAAGAGCAGCTCCATGGTTCAGACATGAATGCGGACGGGTTTGCTGATGAGAATGCAACTTTCAACACACTTTTGGATCGGCTTCGCTGGGCAGAACCGGAGGTTGCCGCCTGGTTGTGACGTCTTCAGGTACGTCCATGTGTTCCAGAGAAACGCTCCTCTGTGAGTGTCAGTGAAGGAACAATCAACTCAACTTAAGGTGCACAAACCTCTCTGCAGAAGCCCACGATGCTCTCCCACAGCTCCTTGGCCTCCCCCTCGTCGCTCTGCCGCAGCGCCTCCACCGGCGTGCTCTCCTTCCTCTTCGGGGTCGGTGCCGGCTGCAGCTGGGCAGCGAGCCGCTGAGGCGTGTGGCAGGCCAGGCAGTGTTTGGCTTTGACCTCGTTGATGAGAGTGCAGGCGGGACACGACCACTCCTCTGTGTCGTTGGCGAGGTTGGCGGCGGTGAGGCACGGCGGGAACGACGCAGGTGCGGGCGACAGCGGCGACATCTCCTCCTTCAGGATGCTGAGCCGTCTGCCGGGCGGCAGCTCCGGTTGTGAAACGGGGAGCGTTGACGGGGAAGGACTTAAGGCAGGAGTCTGACCGAGGCAGCCGTCTGCAGGCGGCACCTCTCTGCGGCTGCAGGGAAGAGGGTTGTGATGACCTGAGGAGTTTGTTTGTGGACGTGAAGCTTCCACCGGTAAACTCTCTCCGCCGGTCGAGATGCTAAGGGACAGCGCCCCCGCTGCAGGCTCCGGCTGTCCCGCTCCGGTTGGCTCCCCCGGAATGAGCAAGGCATCAGCGGGGATCTGGGGGAGAGACAGTTTGCGTGGTCCGCCACAAGCAGAGCAGGACATGGAGGTTGGGGTGTTCTGCAGAGTGCACCTCAAACACTCCCAGACCAGGCTCTGAATAATGGCGTCCTCCGGCCTCAGGAGTCCGGAGCAGCTGCTGGAGCGCAGAGGTCGGGGCCGGTCCCCGGACGAGCCCCCCCGGGGTCGGTCCAGGGCGCCGGCGCCGGTGGAGCACCCGCACAGCGAGCAGGCCGGGTGGTCGGAGGGGTTGGACAGCGTACAGCGTGGGCAGGACCAGCGCCCGTCCTCCCTGCCGGTCCCCTGCCACGTCCACCGGGTGTCCGGTCTCCGCCGAGGGGCTTCGCAGACGGAGCAGCGGGGGGCGCCGGCTGCGTTGAGGAAAGTGCAGCAGCCACAAGCCCACTGGCTCCTCTGCACCGGCATCGAGCCCGAGGAGAAACTGGAGAGAGAACACAGCACCTCACAGTATTTATACATCACGTATACCTGCACCGAGTTTGAAACAGACTTCAAATGTCCTTTGTGTTAAGCACATCAGTGTTATTTCATACGACGTTTATTGCGTCTACAAGTATAGAAGTGACGCATTAAAGAACGCAAAACGCTCTTTATTGTCTATGATTTAAACCTGTTCTGATAATTCTGTTGAAATAGTTTTTTTTAGAAGATGCTAAACTTGGATGTGCAGAGAATCCTTCAGGGGTGTTACGGACATTATGGTCACTCAGCGTTATAATAACCACACATATCTGATGACAGCAGACATAATGAACTCCAACTGAACTCTGTTTCATGTACCTGTAACGACCCGGAGTGGAGAGAGGGGGGGGGGGGGATTAACATGTGTTTGTAGCATGACAGAAGGAGCTGTGTGACATCAACGCTCCCTCACAGACTGATGTATCACACAGTATGTATTATATATGTATTATATGTATTATACATTATATCATGTTTATGTTTTACTTCATAACCTGAGATCAGTTCTTCTCAACACTGAATGTTTCTACAAAATACACTGAAACTAAACCCACTCAAAGCTTTTATTGTGTAAATAAATAACTGATGAGTCTCCAAACAGGTTTTATGTATTTAAGTTATGAACTGAAGCTGTTTTTAAATCTGAACCTAAAAAGGTAATAAGTGATTGTTGCGTTTTTTTAACTTTTGTGTATTTATCTTTCTGATTATATTTAGTGTGATTATGTTTAGTGTGATTATGTTTAGTGTGGTTATGTTTAGTGTG